GCTTCTCATCCCACTCCTGTGTGCAGTCCTCATCCTACTGCACACATGCTTTATCAGTGCTTCATGGGCCCCACAAATCAAATGATAAACCAGCAGACCAAATAAAGTATTATCTTATCTTGTGCAAAGAGAGACTTGTAGTCATTTTCACACAAAAACTCAAAACTTGACACGATAAGAGACATTTGTAAGGCAAAGACTTTAACCTGTTAAGCCCCAAGCCTGTTTTTCAGGACTCAGGCTCGAAAAAGACATTCCCAGAACAAATGACTATATCTTCACTTCTAAAAGGGGTAAATTAATAATCTTTTTTCTCAAAACAATGATACACCTGTGAGTTGGATATATAAAAGTCAGAATCAATATAGATGTTTTTATTTTAAAGTAAATTCAGATTGAACATAGTAAAAAAATGTAAATTATAGTTTCCGCCCAAAAAAACCAACAATTACTTATAGTGAAAACCACCCTTGAATGATGGGATAGTAGACTAAAAGCTTTAGGAATCCAAACTATAACATATAATAAGTACCCTGTATCAAGATTGATGCAAAACAAGTGACATTTGACCTTTTTCGAGAAGTTTAGAAAAAAAAACCCACCTCTGGGGTCATTTGGGTGTAATTGCCATAGCTCTGGAACCCATCTGTCGATTTTGATGATTGACACCTCTTTTGAACCGTTAGAGCCAATAGGATCGAGGGGAAGTTCCTAAATCCATCTAAACATTACCATTGGTGAATGAGAGTGATGCACAGCCAGCATGCCCAAAACCGGAAGCTCTCTTACACTCTATATGAAAAGTAAGTTTATTGACATAATTGTTATGATGGATTATCAGTAATCATTTCAAAGTGACACAGAGACATTGGGTTAACCTTCAGCAGCGTTTATATGCGTTTTGATGCCCTTGAACACAACTTTTGATCAGAAAACAGCAAAGGTAAGACGTATTTGCCGTTTTGGCCCCGTAAAGTGAAGTTGTGTGTTGTCTTTGCTTGCCTTCGCTGCCGTGAGTTTTGGTCGCACAGTGACCAAAACTCACAAGCTTTCATATGATATCTTGTTTGTGCAGATCCGATGAAGTATAAAAGATCACTACCTTGAGTTATGTGCTAAGTGCACTCTTTCGCTTAGTGCTAATTCAGTCGCTTGGCTTTAGAGTTGTGTTTTGTTTAGGTAAAAAAATGTCATATCGTCAGTTAGCTGAGTCTCTTCCCGTTAAGTGGGTATGACACATTAATAGGTTGTTAAATGTTAAGCAGCCCTGAGACACAGTTTCGTGAAAATCCCCCGCCGGCGGGGGCTATGGGGCTTAACAGGTTAAGAGGGGTCTCTTTCAGGACATGCAGTGCAGGAACTTCCAAAAAATGTCCTGTCAGAAAGAGGTCCATCAAATGCTAGGTTACACACACACACACAGTGCAATCTTAGCGGAAAGCCTTTTTTCAACAGCAGGGCTCACACATGACCACCATTAGGAAAATCAATGTGACACTCAGGAAGGCCGGGAGAAAGCCTGAAGTCTTTGAATGGGCCTGGAACTGAGTCATGGTGTCTCACAGATAAACAGAATGAGACAGAGAGAAATGCAGGGGATGTTGGGGATCAGCGCTTACAGGAATACACAAAGTCCCGGCTGACTGGTCTGTTGGTCACCTTGAGAACTTAATTTAGAAATACCTTTGCCACTGTGACTCCCCAGTCTGAAATGCTGAGAGCGCAGAACAGAAAGGTTCATCATTTAACAGAATTTGCTTTATTTATAAGACTCATATCTTGGTTTAACTGTGGGGTCAGGACATTTGTAAACTAGATTGACATAAAGACAAAAAGACAAAGAAACATGGCTCTGTCCAAAGTGAATTAATAAACCTAGGTGGAGGCTTTTGTTGGAGCTGTTTCTTGACAGAAAACGGCCTTGCTCAGTGATTCTGTGCAGCATTTCTGGTTATAGTGTCGATAGATAGAACAAACTGGTTGTATTAAAGTGAATGAACAGCTGGTTAAAAAGACTGCCTCTTCCATCACTACCCCGTTTGCTTCTTTTAAAAAGGTAAAACGTCCTAGTAGTTAAAAAAAACATGTGTTAACCAGAAATGTGCTGATAAGTTTCTTGGAAGTCATGAAGAAAAGCATTGAAGAATGACTAAGCGACTGAAGAAATATCAGTCAACTCCCGTTTAGTCATTTGGATTCATCTTACTCTAGACATCTTACCACCTGGATAATTTACATTGACCTTTAGAGACACATCGATAGGCAGCATGCGTCAGCATCACATGTTCATTTCTGTTCGGACATAATAATAATAATAATAGCTTGGATTTATATAGCGCCTTTCAAGGGACCCAAGGTCGCTTGAAAGGCACATAAACAGGTAAACGGACCAACCGAGTGGACTAGACTTGCAAAGGCTTGGCAGTAGGGCTGCTCAATTAATCGTATTTTAATCGCAATTACGATTTTGGCTTGCAACGATTATGAAAACAACATAATCGAAATAAAACGATTATTATTATTTTTTACTTTTTTTATTTTTTATTTATTTTTATTGGTTTTTCAGTTGAATTATACTTAAAGTTCAGGGTAACTGTTAAAAACATACTGTTCACACATTTTCTTTCAATAAATGGATGTTTTCAAAGTAAATGGATAATCGTTTTTAATAATCGTGATATCAATTATTGACCCAAATAATCAAGATTATGATTTTTGCCATAATCGAGCAGCCCTACTTGGCAGTCGATCAAAGTTCATTAAAGTGTGGGGGAACAACAGCAGGGTCATCTGAGCTCAAAGAATACAAAAGGAGGAACGGAGCTATGCAGATAATATTCTCACTATCCTCCTCCCTCACTCTGTGCTCCGTGTTGATTTAACACAGAGGGGAGATGTTTACATTGGCTTGGTTAAACACAGACAGGCCCAATAGCTTTTGTTAATAATAAATAACCTAAACAGCCACCCAGGACATTTATGGCGGAGTATCAAGCTACCACACGCCGACCACCACCTACTGCATCTGTGGAGAAGAGACCCTCACCCACTTCTGAGTGAACCTGATGGCATGCAAAGTTTAAGACTGAGAGTGAAGCCTGTCAGAGAAGTTTAATGAGTTGGAAACTAGTCAAGAGGAATGAGGTGGAATTAAAACTGAAAGGCATGCTATCTATCCCACCGCAGTTTGTTTGTGATGTGGTTTATTTTAATAGATTCTCCGATGACTTGAAGCGAGCAGCCTACAACCCTGTTGACCCTCCCATCGTAAACACAAAAATAAGCATTAGAGAGTGCACAGGCTAGTTGGGTTCCCATGTGGAAGGAATAGAGATGAGGGAACTTCAGACAACAGAAAAAAAGTTGATATATTTAATCTGACGGCGGCTGCATTGAGCATTAGAACTCTGTATGTGTGTGTGTTGGGGGGGGGGGGGGGGGGGGGGGGGGTTTAAGGCAGGGGGAGAGATTGATCGGGGACAGTGTGGGAGAGAAAGAGGGAACTGCAACAAAAAAAAGAGCCAGGCCTTGGGAACGAGTGTGTGTGTGGGAGAGAAACGATGCACTGCTGGACTGCCGGAAAAAAGAAAGTCAGCCAGGAGGACGGCAGATCGATTCCTCCCCAGAGCCTCACAACAAACACACTCTCTTTTTCTCTCTCTGCATAGCTTACCTCCGCTGCAGCCTGATATCATCCCATCAGCACTTCATCTCTATCACTACACCCTCCCCCTTCTTTGTCTGCATGCTAGCAGCACTTTATTTCGTGGCCTGTGTGAAAGATTGTAAGATTTAGCTGAATTTTCTACGGAGTTTGGTTCTCACAGTAACTCATTGTGCTTAGCTGATAGTATTATTAAGCTAATGCCCCAGATCTGTCATCTGTAGACCTGAAGAATACAACACACCAACAATACTTTGGACACGGTGAATAATTAACAGCTATATTAGAAAGAAAGAAAAACTGTACGTCCCCTCCTTTGTGATTGTGGTTGTATAGAAGTGTGAATAGGAGATGCTTCTCTCTCATGGTCAAAAATATCTACAAGTAGTTCAGAAAGGAAACCACACACTGACACACACTCTTCCTCAAACACAGAGCAGTCCTTCTACCCTCCTCAGACAGACTTGCATTAACACAACTCTAATCTCATGAGCTCTGCATCAAACACCCTCTCCTCCACATAAATCCTATTTCATATATATATACACACACACACACACACACACACACACACACACACAACACACACACACAACACACACACACACACACACACACACACACACACACACACACACACACACACACACACACACACACACACACACACACACAACACACACACACACACACAACACACACACACACACACACACAACACACACACACACACACACACACACACACACCACCCACAACACACACACACACACACACCACACACACACACACACACACACACACACACACACACACACACACACACACACACACACACAACATTGGGGTAGAGAGGAATGACTCCTCCACTTCACCGTTATCAAATTTAGAAGTCTGTGGTTTCCGGTCAAATATGTGTTATAAAGAAAATGGTGTGTGTGTGTGTGTGCGTGTGTGTGTGTGTGTGTGTGTGTGTCACAGTGGGGGGCTCAGTCAGATTGGGGCAACTGTGAGCTGCTTCTACAGGGTTAGGAATGGGATTGCTCCTTTTTTTTGCCATGTCAGCTCAAGCTTGCCCAGTGGACCATTAATGGCCTCTCAGTGTGTCTCAGTGTGTCTGTGGAGAAGCCATAACAAGCAAAACAAGTCTTCACGTAGTTTGGGAGTTGTTGCAGGCGGGCCTGCAGCCTGTCCCGTTGACAGCTGGCGAAAGCATTTGGAATTCAAATCCTGTTGCGCAATGCAAGCTTTAGCCATTTAGAAACAACTTAAGAAAAGCATATCTTCAAAAGTGAGGAAGGTATCCGCTTTTAATTTGTAAAAGTGATTCACTTACCAGTCGCTGAAACCCCCTGCATCTTGCACAAAGTTTGTCTCCGGTCTTTCTCTGCTGAATCCGTCTTTTCCTCGGAGAAACTGGCAACAGCAGCAGCTCCAGCCCACTAAACTCGGAGGAGCGCCTCCACTTCAGAGTCCCCTTTCCTGTTTGCCGATTAAAACAACTACAAACACACTAAGGAGACTTCATGGTTTCCTAACGGACGCGAGAGACTTCACCCGGGTCATTTGTGTGCAGAATAAATTCACTGTAGTCCTCCATGTAGTCCTTTCTCCTCCCTCTCCAGAAACAGAACTCTCTCCTCTGTGCTGCTGGGGGAAAAAAGATATGCGCGCTCTTGGTGCGAGGCGCGGGCACGACAGCCCCATTCATTGACTGTGAATGCTACAATGAAAGATTGGAAAAAACAATAACCATTTTTAATGGTATCCTTATACTCAAAACTACACTTAGGAAAGTAGTCGTCTAATTTCGTGCTGTATTTTTCTTAATCGATCGTTTTCGTGTCTACTTAAACTGTAATGATATCTCTAAGTGATATTGCATTTTCAGCCATGACATGCCCATCGGCATTACATGGGTTGTCACGTGAAGTCATGAAAAGAACGAGGCCTATTTCAAGAGATAGCTCTGAAATGTCCACAGCTGCCCATTAGTGTGGAAGGAAAGACCCTGGAACAGAGATACTAACTGGCACTGTACTTCCATGTCACTGCTCAGGCTTTCTCCTGATCTCTTAATTGATTATCTTCAGTTTCCAAGCCAGCTGAATGGATGCTGCCAGCTGCCTCTGTGAATCATTGTACAGCAGAGCAATAAAGAAAGGCAAAAACAAATCTTGAATTAGCAGATGGTTGTAGTAGTCACAAAATGTATTTTATGTTGCAGGTGTATTGTCCTGTTTGTGTAAAGTTCTAAGTGTTACTTGCATGCACTTACAGTTTTGTGCCACTATACGTTTTCGAGTTTACCTTTTACCTTATACTACTTCACTACACCTCAGATGAATATATTGTATTTTTTTACTTCTCTGCATTTATCAGACAACGATAGTAACCAGTTCCTTTTCAGATTAACATTTTACTTAAAAAAATCACATGATAGGCTCATTAAATACAATGCACTGTAAAAGATTAAACCAGTGGTTCCTAACCTTTTTGCCATGGGACATACAAAAATGCAAAAGCTAGTTTCTCCCCTTCTCGTGAGTCAATGATTTGTTTGCATTTCTGCTGGAAAGTCTTAATGTCTAATATGAACAAGAACATGTTGCTGATGATACTTCTGTGCTCTTTATACTTCTGTGCTCTTTATAAAAAAGTGTGAATGACAAACACAGTCTTGTTTTGGTACTTTTGCATACGTGAAGTTAGACAGCTTGACTCTCAATGTATTTCCTTGATAATGTGACCAGTTTAACCCTCAGTAGCAGGACTGTGTAGCTGCTCTCTGTGTGTGTTTATCTGTGTGCAGATCCCCATCTTTGCGAAACACGTGTCGACTCAGCCACGCATCATTAACCTCTTTTGTGCCCGGCGCTGTTGCTGCACGCTTTACATCTGCCTCAGAAGAACACAGACAACAGCAGGGTCTCTAATGATAATGCCTCCCTCCCTGGCTGCTTGTCTGGCAATAGGTCACTTCATTGACCTGCACTCCTCTCTAATAAGCTGTATCCATACATCACCTCTCCCCTCATTTATACCCGACCACTGACTGCACATACATCACATACAACCAGACATAACATCCATTTTGCACACACAAGGAAACACACAAATAAACACTTTTGCTTGAACTTCTTTCTCTTATTTTGCTTTAGTGAATAATTCTGAAGATGTCATGGCAGAGTCGAAAAAGGCCAAGTGTTTTGTGGATGACTGAACTTGGGTTTTAAATAGACCCAGGCCCTTGTTAGTGCCTCAGAGTGCATGGAGCTGCTTGTCAGCCTGTCTAGGGCATGCTGGTCCACAGAAAGCAGAACACCCAGCAGCCCTCTGGGATACATCCTCTACTCCACTACCCTGGGGCTCCTCCACACAGAGCAGAAAGAAGCAACTGCATTCATAGTGAAGGAGGAGGGGAGATGGGAAGGGAATAGATGGGTAGGGAATTAAGGAAGAGGGGGGAAAGGTGAGAGACAGAGTGAGACATGTATGAAAAGGCAATATGGATTAACAGAGAAAGAGAATGAGAGGCAGATGTGCAAACTGCTGTATAGGTGTGAAAATCGACAGAGATAAGTGTGATATGAGCTATGTGGAGGTGTTTCACTTCACTGAAAGCCACCTGGTGTAAAGGCTCCAATTATACGAATAATCACACTTTAGTCTGGGGTGCCACTTTATTCATTCACTCTTTTTCAAGTGCAAATTGAAGCTTCATAGTGATCAACACATCATCTGTTATGCGACACAGACGTCAAAACCTGCAATTCTGGGACCACACCGAAAGTTATAGCTGTAGATATTTGTGTGTGTGTCACATTGACACTCACACCCTGCATCCAGTGTCAGGACTAAGGAATGTTTCAATGCATCATGAGGCTGAGCTCACACTCCACAGGTCATACATTTGTTAACATCCTCAATGGTGTTATTTATGCTCCAGTAAAGCTTTTCTGAAATGTGTGTATCAGTGTGTGTTTGAAGCAAATCCATGTGAGGCCTGTCAGCTGATCACGACTTGCTGTCCTTCTAGGCTACACGTGGATTCATCACATGACAGAGCCGGCTGATACACACAAATAAGTCTCTTTGTAACAGGAAAACACACTCTTGTCTCTTTGAGGCCAAACCTTGAAGAAACTTTTTAGGGATTCAGGCAGCTCATGAACAACAACTGTGTTACAGGGACCCCAAGAGGTCATATTTAATAGTGCATCAGCTGAGAAAAGTAACCGCTGCTATGCTTTATGAATAACCCTCCATAATCACAGCACCTGCATATTAATAGAGCAGGCCTGATCCCACTGACCCATATTTCCAGCAGAGCCCTCAGTGGGGAAGATGCCTTATAGAAGCTTATGAGAGGAGAGGGGCATCAACAAAGGCTCCTCTGTTGCTACAGTGATGTCATCTGACTTGACCTCTTCCCTCTGGCTCTCGTTATTACTCTGCCATTCAAATTCAATCAGCAAGGCATATTGTAGCAACTGGTTTTTCAATTCTGAGAGGTATGTTAATATTGTGTCTGCATTGTTTGATAAGAGGTAGAAGTAGGTCGTTGTCGAAATGCTATTTTATGTTTGTTCCTGTGCATTTTCTGATATGTCTATTTGTGCTTTCACCATTATAGGGACACTCAACATATTTTACACAACAAGTTCAGTTTACCTGTAACAAGGAGGCTCCAAGCTTTCCAACCCTGTTGCATTGCATTATGGGAAGAGTAATATGCAGTGTTTTTAAGTGTTGACACTGGACTAAAAGTGAGGGTATCTCGGACTCTGCTACTTCAATTTCTTTCTTTTTTATGTGTATATTCCAACAATGGAAGAGCAATACTAAATGGCTGGAGTTACCATTAAATAACGTTTCCATTAAGATTTAATTGGCAAGGTCTAACTTTTTTCAATGTGCTGTTAGAGCTCAATCAAGATTCATATTTAATGTGATTAATGCTTAAGGAGTGCATGATAACTAGTTAGCAGTCAACTCAAACTAGATTGTAAAAGTGAATGGATACATTATTCAATCATTCAGTTTTCACCACTCTAAGTCACATGACTGATCAAACCTACAGGATCACTACTGTATGTGTTCTATGAGAAATGTTCAAAATATGATGTACTTTAGAGGGATATCCTAACAATATTGTCCTTGTTTGCTATAGAAGGCTTACCATTTGCCTCTCATTGCAATGTTCTGTTAGTAAGCCACTAGGACTTATATTTGCTTTTGCACATCCCATGATACTCATAAAAGTCTAGACAATAGTCCATTGAACATAATTTATTTTAATTTAAGGATGTGTTGTTTTTGAAAGAGCCCAACAGCATTTCTGCTCCATTTTAAACGACTGCCAAAAACACAAACTGTCGAATTAATTGGGCAGAGCGCCGGTCTCCAGAGGCTGGACAGGAAGTGCTGGGTGCACCAGAGGTCAGAAGAAACTGGCTCCGATCATTGTGTGGGCGTATCTCCAGAAGGCAGGGAGAGGGGAGGGAAGGGAACGAAATGGGAAATGCAGAGGAGGGAGGAGCGAGGTTTAGGCAGGACAGCAGGGAAAAGACAGAGTGAGAGAGAGAAGGGTTGGGGGTGTAGGTGGTTGGAAGTGTTTTGTGCATTGTGTGAAATGTGATCATGTCCTGGAGCCGCTCAGACAGCTGGGGAAGTTCCCCTGCCCCTGGCTTCCAGCTGAGAACACTCTGAGGAGACATCAGGGCTGCAGACCATTCACTTTGCTGATTAACCCTTCATCTGCTGTGCAGGGGCAAAGAATGACACTCACACGACGTGGAACTTAAGTCACATTTTATTGATTTTTGGCCAGTATGACTACCTTTACACAGATATTCTCCCTCGCTTCTAGAAAACAAACAAAACACTTTCATAGGATTATTTCAGCAGTAATACATCAGACTTAACTTGTCTTCTCCTTTTTTCCTTTTTGTTTCTCCACATTTCGTTCTTTTGTTTATCACCCTGATGAAGTTTACATGTTTGTTTTCAATCCTGTGTAAAGGTCCCATGACTGGGAAACATGCATATGACATTGCGCTGTAATCAATATGCCACTATTCATAATGCACATTATTGATAAGGATACAGTACTGCATGACAATTCAAATAAATACCAACATACAGGTGAAGTCGTTATTTCATATAAAGATATCAAACTCTCATTATGGATCAATACTGAAACACAATATGACAATATAAAGTTTGCACAGCTAATTGTATTATCACAATGCTATCGCTTCCAGCAAACAGAAAACTTTCTCCTTTTTGTCAAATGTAAAAACATTGTTAGAATTGCACTTTAATTTCCTAGCTTATCTTCCGTATTGGTAACTTTAATGCCTCAACAAGCAAGCATTGGCTGTAATGGCACTATTCAAGCTTGTTGATGCTTATTGTTTTCTGTTTCCTGAAAACATAATGCTCAAAGATGATGTAAAAAAAGATTCAAGAGTAAAAAATATAACAAACAAAAACTGAAATTGGACAAAAAGAATGAGAAAATGCGCTCTCTGCACATTT